AGGCTCATTAATGTTTCTCAAAAATGGACACTTGAGGATTTCCATTTGAGAAGTTGCGGAGTTCTCGTGTAAGCTTCTGAATGGAAAATTCATTTTAAAGTTGACCTGCACAAAGACATAAGAACTATAATCCAAATCTAAGAATAGATAAAGCCCAGAATGATTACATCTCTTAGCATCAAAAGAACCGTACATATATGAACAAATTAAGACCGAATAAAACCACTGACAAAACAAATCGATGCTAATTTTACTGCAAAATAAAATCAAACATATTTGAACAATTACAGCAGTCTGATCCAGAGAGAGAAAAAAAGGAAAAGAGTTTAAGCTTTCAAACGATAAAATGTCAAAAGCACAAACAAATTCAGAATCATAACTCTACCAAACACAAGGAATTCACTAAATCATCCGTGAATGAATGTCAAAGCATTGCAAATTACTCTTAACAAACTGATATAAGGGATCTTAAGCTAAAGTCAAAACAATCGATAATGGATGATAAAACTGAAGCCTATAAATAGCAGATTCTACATTTATTTTTCCAAAGACTTGAAATCTAATAACTAGAACAATTACCACGTAGATCAAAGAACAGAAGCCTGTACACAATTGAAATTTATTATGTGGATCAACAAATTTCAACAAAAACAAGGAATTCCCTTTCAAAATAATACTCGCATGGAATTATGAAAATTTTATCACAAATCCAGGAAAAGAAGTGAAAATTTTACCTTCTGGATGAAATTTCACTAAATTTCAACAAAAATAACGAATTCCCTTTCAAAATAATACTCTCATGAAACTATGAAAATTCTATCACAAATCCAGGAAAAGAAGTGAAAATTCTATCACAAATCCAGGATGAAGGGAAACAAAAATAAAGAGGAAAATAAGGATGAAAATGAAAAGAATGGAGACAACGGAAAGAATCGAAGGAGGGAGAGAGTGTTAGGTGGCAATAAAGAGCATTTAGTTACAACTTGGAGTCGGAGAAACGTCCACAATATTTGTCAACAGAGAAAGAGAGAGGAGACGAAACGACGCCGTGGTCAGCACACGCCTATTGGGTCAACTCTTGTATGGCGGCCATTTTTTTTTCAATAATGGAGTCTTTATTAATAGGAGTAATTCATACATACATCTATTATTTTTAAAATTTTTTATGAGATTATCTCTATTAAAAATATATTTCTAAAAATTAATTTTAATAAGTGAGCACGCTTGGATTAATAATTTTTTTAAAATTCTTATTAATTCCGTATTTAAGTATTAAATATTTTTATTTAAATATTGAGTTAATTGCATCACATGCCTTAAAGTATAAATATCATTTTAAATTCATCCCTAAACTTTTGAATATTTTCATCCCTAAACTATGACTATCATTCTAAGATAGTCCTCAAACTTTTGAACATTTCTATTTCATCTCCAGACAATGACATTCATTGTAATCCGGTCCCCGAAGATTTTTTAATATTCTAATTTCATCCCAAATTATACATATATACTAATCACATCCCTTGGTAATAAAATTTTGAGAAAATAACCTCAGTGATCGAAAATGCCTTATAATATACGATTTTAACCAACTTTTTTTGGATTTGCCAAAATGACCAACAAATTCGCAACGCAAATTTAAATTTCGTAACCCAGGTTCCAAATTCGCAACGTAATTTTAAGATTCGCAACGCGATACTCCAAAATCGCAATGCATTTGTTTCTTAAGAATTTTCTATAAAAAGATAATATCGCGCGGACGTGTCGAAGACACGTATGACCACGACCAGACCGGACTGGACGGGCGGCGGCGACGGTGCGCGAGAGTCCCCCTTGTTCTCTTTCACTCAACAAGGAAGTGGAAAATCCAAGCCTTAACTACCCATTCCCAATAGTGTTTCCAATACTATGTGGGATTGAAAATATGAGATCTTTGTACTTGTTTCAATGCTTAATTTGGATGATTTGCCCTTCTTTTAAATTGCTTGTGTGTTTTTATATAGTTTTATCACATGGTCTATACAGCAAATCCTACATACCTGGATTGTTTTTTTGTTGCCAATAAATGAAATATGGATTCTTGGCAATGTCTATAGATGTTTATGTCGAATGATTTTAGCATTTCTTTTTCTTGATCTATATAGCAATCCAGCTTGTTAGAAATGTATTAGTTTCTTGATGTCCTTGTTGCTTATATGTTGTTGTGCGGATTGGATTATTTTCCTTGGTGATAACCAGATCATACATGTCACTACTAACGAGCTAGAAGTGCATAATTCATAAATGTGATAAAGTTATGTGATAGCAATTGTCACAACATAACTAAATATGTGTAAACCCTTGATAGGGATAGTTTCTCTTCCCTTGCTTTGAGCTTTGTTCTGCATGTTAGGGTATTAAAATTTGGAAACTAATTGAAATGGGGACTAGTGGTCTATAATGCAAGTGATGCTTTAATGAGCAGGATGGCATAATAAGGTAGTGCAATATGTTTGGTGTTGGATCTTATAAAGAGGTTGCTGCAAGAATGATAATTGCCTAAATGTAATACTCAATCCCACATAGTATTGGAAATATTATTGGGAATGGGTATTTAAGACTTGGATTTTTCACTTCCTTGTTTAGTGAAAGAGAACAAGGGGGACTCTCGCGCACCGCCGCCGCCGCCCGTCCCGTCCGGTCGTGGTCGTACGTGTCTTTGACACGTCCGCGAGGATACTATCATTTTAGGCCAATTTATATTATTATACATTTGGAAAAATAAAATTTAGGTTAAACTATGATTGAAATTAATTACATATTTGGATGAATTTGGGGATGAAATTGAAAAATTCAAAAGTTTTGATACCAATTTAGAATGAGGGTCGTAGTTTATGGATAAATTAGATTTTTCAAAAGTTAAAGGACTAATTTAGAATGCTAGTAATAATTTGGGGTTGAAATTGGAATATTGAAAAGTTTAAGGACCAATTGAAAATGAGAGTATAGTTTGGGGACATATGATGCAATTAATCTTATATTATATAAATTCTTTTTTTACATGATTATTTATTAAAAAATAGATCAAATTGTTTAACAAAATCAACGAAATGAATTTAAACTTATAACTAGAAATACACTCTTTAAAAATAAATTATTTTAAAATGATTAAATTAAAACTAACAGGTTAAATCAGCCAAAAATAAACAATACAAAGCCAATAATAATTTTTTGGGTTTGTTATATTACTAGAGGAGGGAAGATATAAAACTCAAGATTGTTATTGATTGGATCCTACTTCAGTTGACTACAGTCGTATTAAGCTACTTTACATGGTAAAAAGATTCAAGGTTTTATCTTATTCGTTAATTCTTCTTGTTGTTGTTTTCCCATTTCGAATTTTGTTAAACAGGATAAGATTGAATAATTTTTTAAAAAATTTATAATTTAATCATCTTGTTTATTGATTTATAAAAAAAGGTTTACTCTTATCACTATGTGTATGTTATATGTTTAGTTTTTTTGGATTGATAAATTTGACATTTTGACTACTCAATTATAATCAAATTTATTGCGATTCAATATCAAATGCACATTTGGATTGATGTTTTTATTAGATAAATAAGGTAGGATCCAATTATATTTAATGTAAAATTTTTCAGTTTTATAAATTTTTAGGACCATTGGATGAAGAAAATCAATTATCATCCAATGGTTGAGATTAATAATAGAAAATGAGAAAATATTCACTAAAAAAAAGAATTAATCTCACCCTTTATACAACGATCTTAAAAATATGTAAAACTAAAAGTTTTACTTTAGATGTAAAATCATAACTCTAGATAAATACTTTTAGATGATTATATATTTCATACTTGAATTTTTTTTAAAATGAGAATATTATTTTATGATGGATTGTTACATTATCATCTATTTAGTGATTTAAAAAATTATAATTTTAACAGGTGGGAATGTGATATATATAAGACAATATGTTTATTTTTATATTTTATACTATCCAATTTTTAAATTAATTAATCCAAAAAATGCAAAACTTTGGTCACTCTTTTTTTTCCTTATAAGTCACTATTTTTTTTCTTTTTCAATCTTTGGCTGATATGTGATAGTATCAATTTTAGTGTTGATTATCGTCGATGATATTTTCTTTAGTTTTCTTTATATTTCTTAGCTCACATCTTTATTTTGTTTTATTTCTAATTACTTTGTCTTTATAAAATGTTTCTATCTATTTTTGGTATGTTTTTATGTTATTTGGTCGTTATTGATATTTATTTTTCTTAAAATTAGATTTGACATTACAATTGATTAAAATGACGCTTATTTGTTATATAGCTAATCTTCTTTGTTTTGGACCTCGAATTGAATTTAGATACGCAACATACGTTCATTGATAGTTTTTTCGCGATACTTGATTCTGTTTTATGTTTGTTGATAGTTTTTTAATAGTTAAATCCCATGTTGTGGTTAGTTTCTCATAGTAGTCAGATATGTTCGTATCTACCTATTGTTCAATTTTTTGATGAAATCTTCACAATTTTCCTTATATAATACTTATATGATTTTAAGTTGTTAGCCCCTTGTATCCATAGTTATAGTTATAGCATAATATTCCAATTATATATTATTTTACAAATCTAGTTGTAAACGGTAATTTTTTTTAATTTTTAATAAAATTAATTACTTTTTTTTTGTAAAAAAAAATTAATCCAATTAAAAATTCAATACGTGTGTCAAACTCTGAAATATGTAAGACTCTCTTAATGTACAGTTATATAGATTTAGTGGTTGATAAAGATTAAATAATTAAATTTGTAATTTATCTTTTTTTCAAGGATAAACCGTCAATATTACTTGAACCGGACGGATCGGATTGGGAGAAAGCATCCTGGTTTCAAACACCCCACCTTTGGCAAGCCGAATATGGTAATTCCACGAATGTATATGGAGGCTTTTTGGTAATTTCTGAAAATCCGACTTTTGACTGATCCTTATCCGTAGCCCTATTTCTATGTAGGCAACGAAGCGCGTTTAATCTCATTCTGTATTCTCTCACCACATCGAGAACTCTAGGGTTTTTCACCTTCGCCTTCAACTTCTTCTGCCCTCTGAAATTTCATCGTAAGCTTATTTTATTCAATCGATTTCTTAAATCATGTTTCGATTTGAATTCTCATGGTTTAGTTTGTTTAATTTCTTTATTATTTGTCCATAGATCTGAATTATTCTTGAGCTTTTAAAATTGAGTTATACTATTTTAATAGATGATTCTTAAGTTATACTTATGATTATTCATTGTAAGAACTAAGGTACTTTTGTTATGTAAATCTGTGTGATTGTATTTTTGGCTTCTTATGGAAATAATTACTACAGGGAAAGAAACTATGCCGAGGTATGATGACCGTCGTGGCGGCACTCGTTTGTATGTCGGCCATTTGTCTTCGAGAACAAGATCACGCGACCTTGATGACATGTTTAGCAGATACGGGAGGTAATCTAAGTCTTTTGTTATGTTGAATTAAGTAATCCATAATACTTGTAATGTTGCATTTAGCTGATTGGTTTAATGGTTGCGTGTGTCTTAGTAACTTGTTTCAAGTGTTTTAGTTTTATTTTTCTCTGTTTTGGTGTTATATTTTTCCCTGTAGTATTAATGGCCTTTCGGATATGTTCAGGGTGGGATAAAATAGAGCCCTTGTCAAGCCCTTCTTGTAATGCTTGACATATGGTCTTTCTTATATGGGTGAGAATGTTGTGACCCTCCACGTGTCTGTATGGTTAACATGAATATCTTGTTGAAGGTCTGTTGGCTTTTGCCTAACCTGGAGGTCTATGGTGAGAGGGTGACCTTGGTGGATTTGGCGAGTCTTTCTATATTGTTATTCGTGTTTTTAGCGAGATGGCAACAATCTCAAAATTGGTGTTTTTGGTTCATCTGTGTGGGGGCGAACTATCAACCCTTTAATAATTGTGTCATGATGGCCTTACTGTTTCTGGCACCCATTTACGCAGTGTACGAGATGTGGATATGAAGCGTGACTATGCATTCGTTGTATGTATTTCTCACTCTTTTACTTGATCCCAAAGAGTTTTTCTTATCTATAATATTTTCACTATTTGTATGAAATATGACCATCCTTGCTTGGAACCTTTTTCTTGTCTGTGTTTGTATATTGTTGGCATCATTATTATAGGAATTCAGTGACCCAAGAGATGCCGATGATGCAAGACATGCATTGGATGGTCGAGACATAGATGGAAGCCGAATTGTTGTTGAATTTGCCAGGGGAGTAAGTTTTCTGTGGGCTTTTTTCACCTTCGAGAGATTTTGATCTTTTATGTTATGTTATATGTTGAATAATTTTCCCAGTGTCATTTTGAATCTAGTTTTCCACCTGTCTTTTATCATTATTGTTTGAACGTCAGATCTGATTTGACTTGCAATTTAGGTGCCACGTGGTCCAGGTGGATCTCGAGATAACCCTGGAAGAAGTGGTCCCACTCCTGGATCTGGACGTTGCTTCAACTGTGGAATTGATGGTCATTGGGCTCGTGATTGCAAAGATGGGGATTGGAAAAATAAGTGTTACCGCTGTGGGGAACGAGGCCATGTCGAAAGAAATTGTCAACACAGTCCAAAGAAACTAAGGTTGTCCCCTTCTCCCTTTCATCCACTTTTCATATTTCAACTTGGCTTTCATTAATCATTAATAAATTGAGGTACTTTTTCCTCCTTCCGCTAGTTGGGCCTTATCTTACGGGTAAGGTCCACTAAGAGGGAGGTTTTTAATGAGACCTCCTATTCCTATCAAAAAAAAATTATGCTGAAAACAATTATTTTGATGCAGCCGCAGAGAACGTAGTTACTCACGTTCTCCTAGCCCCTACCATGGTAGAAGCAGAAGCTGCAGTTACAGCAGGGGACGCAACGACAGGTTCGTGTTTAGCATTCATTGACATCGAATTCTTAAAAGCAAATCACCTTTGACATTTTGCTCTAGTGTTGCCTTGGGCAACAATCCAGTTTGTTTTTAAACAAAATTAAACACCTTTTCCTTAAAGTGTATATTTGAATCAAAAGAATTGAGCAAATCTGTAGTTTTTTTCCATTTCTCTTTATGCTGAATCTTGGGCTTTCTGCAGTAGATCAAGATCACCTGTTAAGAGAGACCGAAGTTACGAACGTGAAGATAGAAGGTTAAGGAGCCCTAGGCACCACAGGGGTTCTCCTTCCCCATCTGGAAGGAGGAAGCATAGTCCGGCACCTGTGGGAAGAAGGCCACAAGAGAGAGGTAGCCTTTCCCCAAGAGATCGCCGTCAAACTAATGGTTCAGATTACAGTCCAAGTCCTAGAGGAAGGAGCAGAAGCCCTGAAGCTGAAGCGGATGCCGTGGACAGGGCTCATAGGAACTCCACAAAGGAAAATGGTCAGAACGGCAGCCCTTGTCATCCGCCAAGGGATGATCGAAGCCCTATTTATGATGATGAGGATAATCATGCTTCCGCTAGACGCAGTGAATCAAATTAGGGCAAGCGGTGGTTTGAATTGGTTTGGTATGCATGCTTAAGTGACAATGTGTTTTTTGCGATAACTTTGAATTTTATTTTATATATTGATAACTTTTTTTATTCTTGAATATTTTAAGTTCGCCTGTTAAAATATACTTTTTATTTGATATTTCAAGCATATGCAGGTGGTCAAAATATTCATTTCTGTTTTATTTGTTCCTTATTTAAGTTTATTTATTTGAACTCGCAATCTTCAGATTTTTCAATTATATTGATACAAATTGAACAATTGGCTCAATACTCGGTCTGCCTATCAAACTAAATTAGTGGTCTAATGATAATCAGCCAATGGCCTCTACAATGAAAGCGCACTTAATATTAGTTTAAGCCGAAAAGACTATAACAAAATGTTACAAGTAGATTTTATAATTACGCAAATTGTTTCAAAACTGTAGCGATATATATAGATTTTTTTTCTTACAGCCTCGTCGATTTTTATTTAGCTACTGCTCATGCATCAATTTTTCCTCTTAAATTGTTTTTACCGCTTCTCGTACCTTTTGGAATCCGAATCCGTGAGCACTGAGCAGGTCAAATGCTTCGTACCCAAGCCTTTAATTTCCTCTCCATGTTTCTTTATACCTATTTATCGCATGAATTAAGTCATTTAAGCGGTTTAAGTGATAATTGTAATTTTTATAGATTTTAGTACGATATCTCTGTAAAAATGTTTTGATTATTCATTATTATACGATTTAATTATTATTATAAAATAAGTGCTCAAATTATAAAGTATTTCACGAATAAGTATATACAATATTTTTTATGATCTCGGTGTCTAACGCTACAAACTATACCACTTTAAGTGCATGAGTCGTAGATATCGTCAATTTTCTCCGTTAAGTGATACATGTCACATTTTGATAATTTTAAAAATTTTATTAAAAAAATTAAAGCTTAAAATTATATATAAAAAAGCACATAAAAAATTTGAAATAATCTCAAAACATTGAAAATCTAGATTTTAACCTTTAAACACACGTTAGCCATCGTCTTTTGTCGTTGATGAAGTTTCATCCGACCTCCCCTATCTCTGATTCTCTGGTGATAAATACTCTATGAAATTACGATCAATCGACTTTTTGTACCCTGCGAATCTTAGGATGAAAATTATGATCCCACACGATTTCGACATCAATCGATGGTAACTATAGTGGCGTACGATTAGAAGGATGACAAGGACTAAGTTAGTGGTGGTGGTTGTGGTAGTAAAGACGACGATGGCAAATTAGAATTAGGATTTAGATTTTTTAGAAATTTAGATTTTTTTATAAATTTAATAATATTTTGATTTAAAAAATCCAAAATTATCAACATGTGGACACGTGTCACTTAATGGATAAAATTAACTGCACGTATGGCTCGAACACTTAAAGTGATAGTGTTTGTAACGTTAGGCACCAGAACCATTCAAAAAATATTGTAAGCACCTATTCGTGAAAAACATACATTTATTTTATAATTGTCTTATTGAATTATTGAGTTTTTTAAATAGGTAATACTTTATAATTATATTAATTAATAAAAATATTTAAATAAATTATAAATTATTAATGAAATTTTCATGGGTAAATAATAATATATCAATAGTAGAATAATCATATTTTTTTTGTTAGAAAAACTTTTAAGTGATTTTCTATTATAACTATTATCTATTTGATATATTTAATCTCAATGAGTCACCGTTGATAAAAGAGATTAAAAACTAAAATTAAATGATAATAAATAACAAAGATAAACATAAACTATAAAAATCAAGAATTATGATGAAATTTGTTTTTTTTATCCATCTTCGTAGGTATGATTGATGTGATAATATTAATGTTAATTTTTTTAGTTATGTTTTAGATTTATACAAGATAAAAAGAAAAAATAAAGGGAAAACGGTTATATATTTTATATTGTAATTATTTGATTGTTACAATTAAATAATTAAGTGATATAGTTTTTTATATTGAAAAATACAATGATTTAATTGTAAGTTACTAATATTAAAATGATTTGTGGTGTAATTTATCCAGTTTTAATGGAGAACGTATCAGATGGATCCGATTCTATCCAGAAAAATGGGCATAAGTTGTAGATAGCTTGACAGGTCCATCTCAATTGCATGTCAGGTTTTGCAGAAAACAAAACAGATATGGCATCTTTGAAAATCTGCAATATCAGTGCTATTCCCACTGGTTCTTCTTCAACCTCCCGATCTTCATCAAATCACCCAATTCCTTTCTCCTCCAATCCAATAACAACCACAACGACAATATTATCCATAAAATCAGTCTTATCTTCTTTCCACCACGCCACAAACTCTGTCCACCCAATCCTCTCTTTTCACCGTAAACCCCACTTCTCAATGCTTGCTTCAAAGAAGTCTATAATCATTTCTTCGGCTATGTCATTGGGCACGTAATACGTTTCTTTTTCTAGTCTTACTCTGAATTTACTGCAAAAAAATGAAGGGGGGAAATTGTCAGCATAATCATTTGTTATCAAGCTAGAGAAGTATTTGATTTTCTGGGTTTTCGTATTCGTATTAGCAGCACAAATTACTCGCTATTAGAATCTTCAGCTTTGCAGTTTCTGGATTTAGTTTCGAATTATCTTTTAACAATTATTCTCTCTATATACAGATATGTCCAAGAGGATCTTCCACCAGCTCTTGATTCTACTTCAGACCCACCTCCACTCTTTGATGGAACAACAAGGTTCCATAGAAACTTGCTTCACTTCTACTAGTTCCAAATAATTTGTTATTTTCATAATATCGTTAAGTTGGGGTGAGCATTTGATTGAGTGAATTAAAAAAAAAAAAATTGAATTAAGTCATATTTTATTATTCAAATTTTATTAGAAAAATTTTCAAGTCAAATTTATGAAACTCGAGTCGAGTTATTCAAGTTTAAACGGTTTTTCTATAATCATATATGATATGCATATATTATATAGAGTATATTATATAGAGTAAAAAGAAACTCGAACTTGAAAATCAGTCTATTAAAAATTGAGTTATTTGAATTGTATATTACAACTCAACTAAAATTTAATTTTTTTAGTTGAATTTATGAAACAAGTCAAATCGAGTTGAAAATTTGATTTTTCTGTTAATCAAGTCTTGTTCACCCAATCATTTAAAATCTACTTCAAATCTAGTTATGAAACAGCGTTGAGTTGCTTTGGCTTTAATTAATCAAATTTTTTAGGGTAATTTTAGCAATATGTTGCTGGGTTTATTTTGTTTGATTTGTGATTAACTAATTAACTATGGTTTTGTTACAATGTTGAAGGTTGTATATATCTTATACATGCCCCTATGCACAGCGTGTTTGGATTACCCGAAACTGTAAGGTTGTTTCCATTTCTTTATCTCCTTCGGTTACTTTGAACTGATTCGATCTTTAATATCGATGTAGAATTAATGTTTCGTAGTCGATCGAACCAGTACAGTAGTTTACTTGCACTGCTTTTGAGTTCATCCCAAGCTAATTTTTCATTCTTCTTTTCCATTTCTGAAACCAGGGATTGCAGGATAAGATAAAACTGGTTCCCATTGAACTCAAGAACAGGCCTGCTTGGTACAAGGAGAGAGTCTACCCACCAAACAAGGTCAGACCACATCTTTGGAACATTTGATGCTAAACTATGTTAATCGGATTTGAATGTGAGCATCGGATATGAGTTTGTGTCTAACAAAGACTCGGATTTGAATGTGAGCACCATGTTCGATATATCCAAAAAAGTGTCCGAGCAACATAGATGCTAAAAGATCAGAAAATGCAAAATAGCAGAGTACCGACATTCTGCAATCCTCTTTCTTGCACTAAGTTAATGGAAAACTGATGCAGGTGCCGGCATTAGAACACAATAATGAAGTAAAAGGCGAGAGTCTTGACTTGATCAAGTATATAGATACTCACTTTGAAGGGCCTTCGCTTTTCCCCGATGTACAATCTTAAAAGCTCTTGATTAGTTGTTTCTCACCTCCATAGTTCTTCTTTCATACTCATAGACTATATAACAGGACCCTGCAAAGAGACAGTTTGCAGATGAGTTATTCTCCTATATTGATACGTTCTACAAAACAGTGACTTCTTCATTCAAAGGAGAGGGTACCGACGATGGTGAGTTCGAACACTACTATTAATTTTGGAATGATGTAAATGATCTCATATCACCATGGTCATAATCTGAAAACTGCGCCAGGCATTGCATTTGATGACATTGAAATAGCTCTTTCCGAGTTTGAGGACGGGCCTTTCTTCCTTGGGCAGTTTAGTCTGGTATGTGAAAAATTGTCAGTTAAACAGAAAAGACATATCAATGATATTCAGTTTTCATCAAGTTTTAGAAAGTAGATTATTAAGCATTGGCTCCGTTTCCAATATAACAATGAATACATACATACATATATATGTGTGTGTCTGTGTTTTCATGTCTTCTTCAGGTGGATATAGCTTATGCACCTTTTATTGAAAGATTTCATCCTTTTTTTATGGATGTGAAGAATTATGATATTACTCATGGCAGACCTAAATTGGCAACTTGGATTGAGGTATTGCTAGATTTATTCCAATTGTGACCTTGTTTGAATCTGATATTGTGGACTAAACCATGGTTAAAAAAGTTCCATTTTTTAGTCTATCAAAGGGTGACTGATTATCCGGAGAGCATGAACGATGTCAAGATGGCTTTTTCTGTAACATCCTAGTCAAGGACAAACCTACGTTGTAGGTGCCAAACTTTGATGGTTTAGTTGTTTTTAGGTCACTAATATTTTTGAAATCATTTTTAAAATGAAATTATGTCTCCATCTCCATTTTTTTGGTTTAGTTACTCTTTAAGACTCCCTTCAATTTTAATATTACTGAAATTAAATTACATCTCCTTTAAATTTTATGATTTATTTAATTTTAAAGACCCTATTTGATTCAAAAGTTAAACAACTTGCCTCCCTCGTAGTTCAATCTCGGCTCTGTGCCTAATCGTGGTAAATCTACTCTTGGCAGGAGATGAACAAAAACGAAGGTTACAAACAAACCAGGCGTGATCCAAAGGAACTTGTTGAGAGCTACAAGCAACGTTTCATGGTAATCAAAATTTAAAGTTTAAACAGTGACAGAAGTTGTATGAAATATTACTTCAATGCTCACAATTTCCCTGTTTTCTTTTGCAGGCTCGTCTTTAAACAAATGGGGATTCTGTGTTCTTCGTATCATGAAATTGGCACTACCGCACTAGTATTCGAATGCTTTATTATTTCTGAGAAGATAGCCCGGCCTTGGAATTTACTTTCCTCCTAAAGCTTTTGCCTGTAGAATTAAGTAACCAATGGGGAATCATCTATTGCTACTGTATTCAACAGAATACAGGACCTGCCATTATTAAAACAATCAAGTAGCATTAACCTGAAAATTATACAGTTTATATAAGTTTGTTATTACTCTAGTGTTGTGTTTTGTTTATGATTAAAATTTATGATTTAATTTACACAAACTTATTTATTTTAATGTCATGTATTTTTATTTAGTGTTTTAGATTTTAGAAATTGGGATTACAATTTGAAGGTTGTTTAAAAATAAATTTTACAGTATAATATATATAATAACCCTATATATAGTAAAATAATATGATGCATAATATTATTCCTAGGAAAAGACTCCAAAATTGTTACCGTTGAGAATACTTCATTACCCCTATAAGGGAATGTTCTTAAACCAAACGTGTATATACGATTCCGGAAAAGATTATTCCACTAGTAATAATCTTTTTCATGAACCTAATGCCTCTTAGAGCAAATACTTTTATACATACTTCCTCCAATTGATCTACACCATACTCTATTATCGTAAGATGATAAATTTTTACATGAACTTGTAGTGTTTTAGATTTTAGGACTACAATAATCTAAACTTCAGTTTAGACATCCCATGCATATGACAAAACTTGCAAACAACATCACTAAAATCTAGTTATACCAGCAATGATATTAGTCTTGTGTTACTCAAAACTCTTCAGTTTTTTGGTTCTGAAACACCCTTTCAAACGAGTATAAAGATATGATCTCTCAACAAATGAAACAAAATTTACGCCCATCTCAGATACATATACGTATCTAACAATTAACCCAACTCCTGAAAGCATAAACTTTATTAGTGCCTAAAGAACCATCACTCACAGCAGCAACTTACCATGGGAGAGAGTAAGCAACGTGAGAGAACTACATTCAAATGTTTCTGAAGAAGATGCCTTCTGCTCAGGAACATCCATGACGAGTCGAAGCTGGAATCTGCCTGTAAAAGCATTAGCCTGCCCCTGTTGCATGCTGGTTCTAGTTTTGTTGTTTTGACTTTTCATTTTTCAGGAAATTCACATCTTAGATATCCGGATGTATGTATAGAGATATGACCTTGCAAAAACTCTCCAAATACATGAAAAACTTGGAAATAAATTAAGTATACCCGTTTTTGATAGATGCTTGTACCCGACACCACACCCAAATCCAAGTAACATAGGATCGAAGAATAATTAACAACTTTGAGGATTCTCTAACATCATTCTCAATTTCTCATAATCAATTCATCATCATAAAACTGAGTTCATAAAAGGATAAGATATGCAAGAGATTGGATTATACATAGCGTACTTTGAATGTTTATCACTTGTGTATAAGCTGTGAGAAGCCACTTGACTAGTAATTGGCATTTACAATAGAATAGAGTAAGAGTTTCTCAATATCAAGTTGCAGTAGCAAATTGCACAGTACAATGTGTTGATGTGGGGACTTGACTTGCTTAAAGCAACGAGCATCCTCCATGAAATTTAAGACATAAGCCTATGAATATATATATGGATACTACCCTCAACAAACAGTCCAATCCGAAAGGAAATTCCGACATATATGAACTTCAAAAGGCAAGGGCTTCATGGTTAATCGAGTGAAATAAAGATGGCAGCTTCAATTTGCGAAAAAATATTCATCAGAAAGGGCATGTAGTAGCAAGAGAGATGAGCCACAAACAGTTCATATAAAAATATGCAAGCTGCTACAACCAAGAAGATGAAGATAACTACTTTAGTAATACTTTCCCTATCTTCTCCACATACACAGCTAATGACATCACCGAGAGCCCAGCTGAAACATAAAGAAAAATAATACCAGATGCAACTAAGATCCCACTTTCTCCAGATGCAACTAAGATCCCACTTTCTCCAACACTGCATAAAGAGGGAGAAAAGTGGAAAATAAGTAGTCAGATACGGAAACCAGGCTTGTTTGGCATTTATCATTTTCATGTCGACGGAAGAAGAAATTTAATAAACCTGTTATCTCGTGTAGCCAGAAGGATGGTTAGTGCAGCCATCTGCGTGGCAGTTTTCCACTTCCCCAGCTTATTTACAGCAACAGCCTGATTCATGTATCAAACTTGAGAATAAGCTATACGCAAAACACAAGCATTGCCTACTTCGATATAAAAGTAAAATAGATAGTTGCTTGACATCCAAGGGAGAGAAACATACCTCTGAAAGCTTACTATTCTGAGAAGCAGCCCATTCCCTAACAGCAGACATAGTTATCTACAAACAAATATCAACTGTTTGTAAGATATTTACAACTAAATAATATAAGTATAAAACAGCATCAGATACGGTATATATTACCTCCCGTCCTATAATGGCTATTGACGGAACATTCAGTAACCATGGCGCTTGCCCAAACAAGGCAACATTTATAGGTCTTGAACATAGTAAAACCAATGTTGCAGCAACCATAAGCTACATTAAAGAGGCATGGGGTCAGATGAAATGCTACAATGACTTTGGCAATTAAACTCTATCCAATAAATAACTTAAATGTTTGGCAAACAAAAAGGAAAAAAAAAACAAAAACTACACACCTTATCAGCGACTGGATCCAAAAGGGCACCAAAGGCAGAACATAATTTCATCTGAAAGACATAATAAAGACTTTACTAAGATAAATTGTATAGAATAACTGGATTCCTATAAAGAGAGGAAAAAGAAAGGCTTCCATAGTATCTTGGAAAGGGGCAGGGTAGAAGGCATACTTTTCGAGCAATGTACCCATCAAGCCAATCAGTTATAGCAGCAGCCATAAATATGCTAGTAGTTGCAGTCCTTCCCCACCAACTATCCACAGAAAAGGCTACAAAGAAAAAAGAAAACCATTTTTGTCTGTCTCAGTGAACATAAAGTTTTGGTATCAGCAATGCAATTAACAATTGCCACTAAGAATTTATGATTCGTGAGCCAAGACATGAAAATAACAAACAAACCACGTTGACATAAGCAGATCAATCTAAACAGATCGAATTGAAGATCTAAATCATGAAGGAAACAACAAATCCTGATTGCATTGCCCCAAAAGTTTAAACGCCGTTATCAAATCATCATCATCGTTACTAGAATTTCAAATCAAATTCAACGAGAAAGTGAACAAGAAGAAAAAGACGAAATCTAATCGCAAGTCACAAACATTCAGCTAAAATATTGCTAAATATGAAATTCAATAAAAAGAAACTTAACTGAAAATCAGCACCGGCACAGCGGCGACGCGGCTGAGTGTTAAAACAGTGGGCAAAGTTAAAATTTTGGAAGAAGAATTATTAGAGTAAGCTAATCTAGGCTGGTGTACTGGTTGCTGTTGCATCAAAGGCACCGATTCCATATCCGCGGGAATGTAGGAAGACTCGGAACCCGATCCGTTAAAGATTCCTTTATTGTTTGTTTACGAAGAGGGAGAGAAACACTTGGGTAAACGCAACGCAGATCTAGTGAAAGGAAGGAGGTTTTTATGGGGGAAGTTTGGGGATGCTGAACCGAAATTAGGGTAAACTACAATGCGCCGGGAAACGTGAAGAGTGGAGGAGCCGTGTCGCGGCGGTGCTCATTGTTTGGATTTCTCATTTAAATGATTCACATAGTGCGACGGTGTAGATAACAGATTTGTCAATGTAATTACGTGACATAAATAATGTCGTTTTAGTATGATTACAGAAGATTATATAAATCTTTTAATTAATATATCGATTTGTTATTAGATTTTAAAATATTTTAATTTTAAAAATTAATTTTTTTTATTGTCGGTGACAATTAATCGTTACGACAAAATTTATATTGAATTGTTCATTTCTCTTCTCTCAAATTGATTTTCTACTAAATTTACTGATGAAAAATTATATAAATATTTGTTGTGCTAACACTTTGATTTTGTAACCCCTCAGACTGATACGGGTAATCACATCCGATCTGGAGTGTCACATTAGGGCCACCGGAGTGACCCACTATAAAAATAGCGGAAAATTTAAAACTTTTATTAAAACATGTAACTTATAAAATAATTTATCATTATGCAGAAACAAAATAGATTTTTATACTCGTATATAAAAACAAAATACAATTACATGCCCCCTAATGACATGTACTGTACTCTGCAAACAGCACCGGAAGAACTCTCTTACTGAAGTCGATAGCTGCACTGGTACAATTCTTTTAGCCTGAAAAGATGAGTAACAGAGTGAGCTTCGGAAAGCTCAGTAATACAGAACTATCAGATGATGCTGAAGAACGTGCAGATACAGATAAACATATATTTTCTTAATGATCCATACATTTGCAGACCTTTATATTGAGCGGAGATCCTATTGATATTTCAGGTGGCAACAGACAATGAGCTCTCAGTTCACAGAAATATTTCGGAGGTTTAGGTTCAGGATATCAGAATAGGTTATCTAGTGTGTTTCCAAAAACCATGTAACTTTTCAGATCTTTTTAAAACATATATATATATATATATATATACCCTCATCCCGACACAACATAACGTGTAGGTTCCCCAGAACCATACACCCCAACCCACACAACTTGTAAGGCCCTGAGCACAAAGCCGAGGAACCCGCGGAAATACTTCCTTCAACAATACCCCCAATTAAAATATTTTTCCGTCAGTAAACGGAGATATCAGAAATCAAAACAAAATCCAGAACAGGTATCAGAACAGAATCCAGATCAGAAATCACAACAGAATTCAGGTCATGTATCATAACAGAATTCAAGTCGGAAATCAGATAAAATATTTATATGTTTAGGGAACACACCAGAGTTTACAGATATTATTCAGAGGTACTGGATAATCTTATCAGGCAGAAGAAACAAGGATCTTTCATATACTGATAGAATGTCGGAATTTAGAATCACTATTGAAAGAGTTCAATAACTGACAGAATCATCAGTTATTCAGAATATAATTTATTAGGATCATCTTATTCGGATAATTTTTGGAAGCTCTACGAAATCTGAAGGGTATTCAGAATCTTTACCATCTATGACGATTAATCCGATTATCGAACAACTCCAGATGAATAGTTTTCAGAACCAATACTTATCAACTTGTCAATTCATTAACCTTCCAGGTTATCACTCTTTAATATCAAATATTCTTATCCATGGATCATCTTACGAGCCATCACTGAACAAATCTTAAGGAGACTAACAAATATTCTCATGGTCTTTATTTCATTTCCATGTTTCAACTATACCAGAAAATGCTGACATACTTGATTTGTGGTTCATAATCCATAGGGGTGATACATCACATAAGTTTATCCGAGTTTCCAAACTTATTCCAATCTCTTACTTAATCCTCAGTCCTTGAGGTTACTTAGTTCATTTAGCATTCAAGTCCATTCCAGTTACTTCGGGATTTTCTAGAGTAATTCAAACGTTACTGAATTTCAGATACATGTTATACTTTCGTTCCATTCAATTTGGTCTTCGTGGTTGATTTGTCGAACAAACGTCCAATTCTTAGTACTGAATGCGATCTAGAGTTGAGCTGAGCTGAATACTTCCAAAATTTATCATCGAGCCAAACTTGAGAAGACGAACACGCATTCCAGTAATATCTATGTCATTCAGGTATTGACATATCTTTAAGGTTGATCTACTCACTTAAAATGTGTTCCATTACTTTTAAAGGTAGTCCAACACCTATGCTTATTTAGATTCCTTAATTAATACAAGACATTTACTTAGTTTAGGCATAAGGGTATTTTAGTCATTTTGGTGTTTAGTTTTATCCCAATCATTACAGAGCTTGAGGATATCCCATCATTCCTGCTTGGTGATATTCTTGGGTCATTTCCATTACAGAGTATTCTGGTCATTTTACAGATCCAATGTATTACAATCATTTTCTTCCGTCCGATCTTATTATTGAATTCAAACTTATCATTTATTTCAGTCATTTCGAATAATTCTGACAACAGAACACCCCCGACAAATTATTCTTTAGGTATTTACTCATAACTCGAATATTTTCGGGTCAAATGCCTTCTCAGATTTTACAAACGGAATATCAGGAATTTTCTTGCACTAAGTCAGGATCTTAACAATCAAATCCGTATTTAATCGAGTTAAGTACGGATCCTTAAAGTACTTTCTCATTCAGGGTCAACTCAGACTATTTTACCTCTCAAGGGTATTTTCGTAATTTCTTAACAAGATAATTTCGATATTAGCTCTTAACGAAAATAATATAATTTAGAGATTCTATGATTAATTGCTTTTCCGAACATTCTCTGATCTTGAAATGAATCCTTAACAGACTTCTAGATTCTTGCCCAAAACCCTCTTGGGGTTAAAAACAGATTATCCGTAGTTTCTAAGCAAAACTAGCATTTCGTATGCACATCAATAATTTTTATCGGATCAATATGTCTTTTCAGAGTTATTAACCAACTTCCAGGGACAAAGTCATCCTACAATATAAGGGTATTTTCGAAATTTTACCCTACCGAAGTTTTCTCATAATTTCCCATCCAAGTACCTTTAACATTTAACTTTTGATTATATGCTACAAATCCATGATAATACCTTTATCACTAATCACATAACTCATAATTTAATTCTAAGAATCATCCATTTCTTATATCAGTCATCTGAGCCATTTTCATTTACCAATTTTTACTGTATTCAAATCGTGTGTAGAACTTCATTAATTACACATATTAGACCAAACATTTTCATTCATGCATTTACCAATATCAACATGTTTCATAAAGCATAAAGAGGTAGTAAAGTATTACTTCAATTTCTGTGCAATACTGATCAACCATTAAATTCCATTCGAACGCCCTCGATCTTGAAATCAACTTCCAATAATTCTTCAGATGCATATCAATAGAAAATACATAAAAAAAATGGAGCTTAATTGAGATAAACGGATCGAATCGGATGATAAATCAGTGAAAAATAACTTATTGGATTTGAATTTGGCGAAACGGACTTCGGATTCGGATTCAGGACGTCGAAAGCATAAAATGTGGCTTTTCAAAAATTTGGAATTTTCGGTCAAAATCAAAGTCAACGGGTTTGACTGCCAATTTCGAGGCCTTCAGGTTTGAATTTCAAAAAACGGACTGCGGAATCGGATTCGGAACGTCAAAAAACGTCAGGATAGGTATACTCGGTCAAAGTCAAAGGTCGTTAAATGCCCGGTCAAAGTTTTGGTCAACGTGGGTCAAGGGTTAACTGGTCTGGTCGGGTTGGAACTGGTCAAACCGGTCAAAACAATTCCAAAACCGATCAAACCGATCATTTTTCCTTCCTCACGCGCAGTGGCGGCACGTGGGCCCACTTCCGGCAGCCTATAAATCACATAAAAATTTCTAAAAATTATTTTAATGCATTTTAAGATACTTACCAAGCTTGGTTCACAATTTTGAACGTCGGAGAACTCGATTTCAACAAATCGAAAACTTTGACCGCTTCATCTCCTCACGCACCGCCGCCGACGGAGACCAAGGATTATACCGACAGACTCGGAACATCACAAGGAACACGATGGTGCGAGAGGTGTCGTAAAGGGATCATTGGATCGTCGTGAATTGACGAAAAACCAACTGAAATCGAGTTATTACCGACGATACTTCCGACTGAAATTAACGACGAACGGCGAAGATTCACGACGAAAGGTTTGAGGAGTTTTGTTCCTCGGTCGACAACGAACACGGTGGTGGTTTCGGTTCGTTGATCGGAGGTCGGACGGCGAGTAGATCGGAGATCGAAGTAGGGTGAACAGGAGAGGGAAATTGGGGAATTCTGGAAACTGAGCACGGGGTAATTATATTTCATCATATATAAAAAATAGTTAAATCATGGGTTTAGTCACTAAGCTTCCTGCACTTCTTAAAATGGTATGCCAACTTTATGATTTTACAATTTAATCCCCAATTTATTCAAAAAATACCAATTAAATTCACCACTTTATAATTTCTTAATTTTAACCCCTAAATTGGGGTGTTACAGATTTCCTTTAATGATTGTCTAATGAGACTAAATTTAAGATATGTTGTTTGTCTTCTCAAAATAATATATTCGATTTTTTGACAAAATATACAAAATTTCTCAAATTTAAAAAAAATCAAAACTTAAAAAATTATCGAATTTTTTATTCAAATTTGTGAATTTTAAAAAGATTTTGAGAAAATCTAAATCGATAAGGTTTTAAAGGACGACGAGATAACGATAAAAAAAATGATAATTTTCATATATTAGTATCATATTAGTATCAAATTATCATGTTATTTATGAATTAACAATTTATTCTTATAATTAAAGTAAAAGTAAAATTTATTAATATATTTATATTGTTTAAAATTTAATGATTGTGTTATATTTAATTATTTTAAAGTTTTAGTCTTTTATTTTTATAATTAAAAAAAAATTGTCGATATTAATTGACTATTGAAATAAAAAAGAAGGTAGAATTTAGTTATATAGGTTAAATAAAAAAGTAAAGGTAATTGAGTTGAGACCGGTAAGAATTCAAATATATAGAATAAGTCAAACATTTTGTTGTTGTTTTATTAATCTTAGATTTTTTTTAAGAAAAGAA